CACACACGCACACACGCACACATACACATGCACACACACATGCACACACACACACGCACGCACACACACACATACACACACACACACACGCACGCACGCATACATACACACGCACACACACATGCACACACACACGCACACACGCACACATACACACACACACACACACACACACACAAAGTTTTCACTACCTCATCCTGTTAATTCGTATTCACTATATGAATCTTAGCCTGGGTGTTACCTCCTCCAAGAAAACTGACTTTTCCAAGGTCTTGACAACCCCCTTCAACAGCACACATCCCCTCACATGGACACTGCCAGGTCTAACTTCCCATCCTTTCTACTAAACACCCCACCTAGGAAAATGTGACTATCTGAAAGAGAAATGCGTACAGGTAGAGCATGTGTCCACGAGAAAGGAAAGGCCTGCTGGGACAAAGGCTTGTATGGAACAGAAGCCACAGGGAGGGTCCATGGACACCCAGGGCGAAGGGGCAGCAGTGTGTGGAAGGGGCTGTGGCACCTGTGTGTGAGCCTGGGCTTACCTCACAGTGGTAACATTCCACATGGTAGTCTCTGTCCATGGACACCACACGAATGGTTGTCTCACAGCCCTGGAGGAAAAGGCAGAGTTCACAGACGTTCTTCCTGGACCTGGAACACTATGACCTGTCCATCAGGACACACCTCTCTACAATATGCCACAGTCAGTGACGCTGGCAGGTGTCCAAGAGTGAATATGCATGTGCGCTGGGCATCTTCCCCAACCGGCATGTGACAATAAGAAAGTCACATGCGTTCTGGCTCACACACACTATCTTCACTTCTTCAGAGCCAGGGACTCCCACTACCAGTCCCGTTTCCTCAGAAGCTGACTTGGGCATATACAGTTCATGCAAAAAGACCCAATAATAAGAGAGACATAGGCCAAGGCCTCTCATCTGTTCCTCTGGCCCTAGGCCACCCAACGTCCACTGCAGAAGTGAATGACCCCAGTGAGCAGTCCTTTCCCCATTACAGCTAATGGACTACTGCAGGGACAAGCTAGAAGCATTACAGCTAATGGACTACTGCAGGGACAAGCTAGAAGCAGGCAGCTGCTTCCATGTAGTTCACCCAGGGCACACCTGTCTCAGCCCTGCCCAAACGCCCTGCATATTCCTCAGCCCTGAGGAATGAAAGCATGGCCATCTTCAACCACTCCTACTGTGGCCCAGGATCTGAGGCACGCTGGAGTAGACAGAGCCTCAGGGTCAAGCACCTGCTGCTTCCAGATGACATGTTCCTACCTGTGCAGGGAGGATGGGGCGGGCACAGGAGGCACATTTTGGTGCAAACACCCTGGAAGAATAGAGGAAAATGGGCATATGAGAAGGTGAGTGAGTAGAGGCAAGGGCACCAGCCCACCCACCTGCCCTCCTGTGTGGACACCGGTTGGTGCGGCTGGTGCAGCTTTTGCCTTCTTGGTGCCAACAGCTGATGTGGTTCCTATGTGCCTACTCCAGAATGGCTTCAGGCTCTCTCTAGACAGCTCCTTTGTATTCTCTGGCCCCTCACATCCACACCGAAGCCATCCCTAAGGTAGACCTCTGCTCTACCGTGAGTACCAAGTACAAATGCTGGTGGCATCAATCCCCAAACTCAACAGCAGCACAGGCCCAGAGCTGCCAGGCTGGAACCTGGAGCCACAGCATAGAAACCGTTTGGCTGCTCATATGATATCAGGGCTCTTCTCTCTTTAGAAGCAAAAAGCCAGACAGTCAGGTGAGCTCACTAGGAAGAAGAGGGTTATATGTAGGCAAAGGCAGGGAGCAAAGGCAGGCAGACTGGTGGCCAGACTACCCATGAGAAGGATCAGAAAGCACAAATGTGACTGCCCTGCCCTTCCAGTTGGATGTGAACCACCTCCTGGCTGGTGCTGGAACATCTGCTCCAAACATCTGTTTGGGGAGGCGCTGGAGCCTTCGGAGGTCGGCTTGGCTAGTGAAGGCGAATCACTAGCGGAAGGAGCTTAACTGTTACAGCTCAGTCCGGTTCTTTCCTGCTCTCTTCTTTCTGCCCCATCAAGAGTCCCATCTCCCTGCTCCTGTCACCAAAGCTAGAGCTGTCAACACCCAAAGCCACACCTTCAACACCAGGCCTGGCCTATCATGATGGACTGACATGTCTTCTGAAACTGTGAGCCAAAATAAACCTCTCCTCCTCACACTGTTCCGTGAAGGACTGTCACCACATGGGAAAAGTCACTAATACACCTACCCCAACAGCTGAGAAAACACAGACAGACAACCCCCCCAAAAAAGAAAAAGAAAAAAAAAGCAAGAACCAGAGAGGCAGAGGCAGGCAGGGAGGGCCACGCTGCGGGCCACACTGCTCCAGCAGGGGGGACTCACGTATGATAGTCTCTAACGCAGTAAATGTTGTTCTCCACATCCACAGTGAAGGGAACCCCATCCAGGCACTCGTTGCACACTGAGCAGCGGAAGCAGCCCGGGTGGTAGGACTTGCCAAGGGCCTGCAGAATCTGGGGAGGTACCAGAAGGTCAGTGCAGGTAGGACACTCAGCACCGCCCCCAGGAGGCTATGGAGCAGGGCCCTACCGGGTCTGGACAGGAGAGGGGTGGAGACCCCAGGAGACTTTCTCACCATCTCCATGATGAGGTGTCCACACACGCTACACTTGTCAGCTGTTTGCTGGAACCCGGAGTACTGAGAGGGGACACAGGATCCAGGACGTCACGTGACAAAGGGGCACTCACTGTCGCTGGCCTCAGGTCTGCATGTGAGTCCGAAGGAGGTTCCCGCCCTGCTCCCACCCAGCTTGGCCAGCAGCACAGTGGAGACTCACCAGGAAGTCCTCCTGGCAGTACACTTTCTCACCCACGTTATAGAAGGCCTTCCCGCGGAGCCGTCTCCCTGGAAGGTAAGGAGTGAAATGCTGCAACCAGGAACAGAGCCCGGCTTGGATCTCAGTACTCATCTCCGACCACCGTGAAAGGGACCCTGTAATGCCATGCTGCCGTTATAAACATTCCAAACCACAATGAGGGTTCGCACCTGTGAACCAGCATTCCAAAGGTGACAGCAGGACCCAGAAGTCTAAGGACAGCCTAGGCTACAGCCTAGGACCTGCCTTGAAAAGTTGGGTGTGATGACGCATGCCTGTAATCTTAGCACTTGGGATATGGAGGCAGGAGGAACCGAAGCTCTTGGCTACAAAGCCTCGCTGGAGGCCAGCCTGGGCTGTAAGACACCCCCTCTTACACAAAAACAAGTACTGCAGAAGAAACCAGAACAGTCAACAAAACTGTTGGGATACGGCAAATACTGGGAGGTCCCCTCTCCCACACCTCTGTCACCTGTACCGTCACCTCTCTAGTTCTCACCTGGCACTGCCATCTATCCGCAGGTGCCAGGAGCTACTAGCAACTAGAAGCAACTACAACCTGGTGAGGGTGCTTGTGAAAAATATGCAGCCGCATCAAGCACTTTGGTAAGATATTAAGTAGTTTTCCTCTTAAACAGCTTTGGAGCGGAGTGTGGTAGCCCACACCTATAATTTCAGATCTTAAGAGGCAGAAACAGTAAAAGTTCAAGGCCAGCTTGAGATATGAACACTCTGTTGAAAAAACCCCAGAGCTGGTGGCCCTGAATCCCCCAGTGAAGAGTTGGGGGCGTGGCTCAGTGGTAGATCCCTGTCTAGAATCCCCCAGTGAGGGACTGGGGGCATGGCTCAGTGGTAGAGCCCCTGCCTAGAATCCCCCAGTGAGGGGCTGGGGGCGTGGTTCAGTGGTAGAGCCCCTGCCTAGAATCCCCCAGTGAGGGGCTGGGGGCGTGGCTCAGTGGTAGAGCCCCTGCCTAGAATCCCCCAGTGAGGGGCTGGGGGCGTGGCTCAGTGGTAGAGCACCTGCCTAGGATCCCCCAGTGAGGGGCTGGTGTGTGGCTATAGGTTAGATTTCCAAGACCACAAAACAGGCAAAAAGATTCAGTCTTGGCGCTAGTGTATACTAATGAGACTTGTGGAATTAGTGGTGAGAGAGAATAGAAAGAAGTAAAGTTATCTACAATCACAGACATATTACCACATAGTTATCTATAAACACAATCATGATTGTGTTGCACAGAACACCAGTATTAACCCAATAACCCTACTAACTTTATTGTAATTGTAGGATGGGACTGAAGGCTGGCATATGAGAACCACATGAATTTGGGGGTTTTTGTTTGTTTGTTTGTTTTACAAGACACGGTTTCTCTGTGTAGCCCTGGTTGTCCTGGAACTTGCTCTGTAGACCAGACTGGCCTTGAACTTACAGAGATCCACCTTCCTCTGCCTCCTGAGTACTGGGATTAAAGGTGTGCTGCTGCTGCCACCACCACCACCACCACCGCCACCACCGCCACCACCGCCACCACCCGGCTCCAATGCATTTTTATTCTGGCAATCAATACTGGGAAAGTGAAGCTTCAGTTTTTAAAACTGCGCTTATGAAGCTGGAGAAGATGATGACGTATGACTGGACACTGCTCTTACAGAGGGCTCAAATTAGGTCCCCAGCACTCTCATTAGATGGCCCATAACTGGCTGTAACTCCAGCTGCAGGGAATCTGATACTGTCTTCTGGCCTTTGGTGACAGTAAACACACAGACACACAGGGACAAGCTATGCTGGCAGCAGCATGAAGACAGAAAGCAAGGCTGAGGGATTAAACAGGAAAATGTGGGTATGCTGCGTGCTATAAAACCAGACTCGGCCCAGAGAAATCTGAGAAGACACAGGTACAGATAGCTCGGCAGGGAGCCAACTTCCTAGCTCATTTTGCACATCTTGTTGGCAAAGCTGGCAGCTCTCAATCCGGTTTCTCTGTTTCAAGAATGTTTGCAGAGTAAACTCCTCAGGAGACAGAGAGCATGCCCCTTGGGGAGAGCGTAAGTTTGTTTGTTCTCCAGCATTGCAAAGATGAGATATGCCTCTGGGTCAAGGGTCAAGGAGATTTCCAGACGGCCTACTGTAAAATGTTGGGGTTCCTCAAGCTCTGGGTGGTAGGGCTTGCTGGAGTTCCAGCTTCTCCAGAAGCTGAGGCGAGAGGCTTGTTGAACCAGGAAGTTTGAGGTCCTGCTGGACAGCATAACGATCCCACCTCAAAAAAAAATTTTTTTTTTAATTATAATTCCTAAACTTGAGGTTTTTAAGGTTTGCCACAGAGGCAGAGTGTGCAGCATCTACCCGGATCGCGTCCCATCCCGTGAGAATCAAGGGCCAATCGGAGTGGGAAGTACAGGTGAAGACTCTGACCCAGAAGGAGGTGTCTCCTGCCGGCATCATGAAGAAGAGGGGGCTCACATGCAAGTGCGCTGGACCCTCCCCAGCTCACAACAGCCGTGGTCACTTCCAGATGCTACCCAAACTCAGCATCATTTATTTTCTGTAGAAATCGATTTTAAAGGAGGTGATGAGGGGGGCTGGGGTGGTGGTTCAGTCAGTGAAGTACTCACACATACATGTGGCCGAGTTCAGTCTCCAGCATCTACATAAAAAGCCAAGTATGGTGGCATCCCATTGTAATCCCAGTACTGAGGAGGTAGAGACAGGGGTACTTGCAGCTTGCTGGCCAGGTACACTGGTCTAATTGGCAAGCCTCTGGTCCCAGTGAGAGACCCTGCCTCAGGTCCCATTGAGAGACCCTGCCTCAAAAAAAAAAAAAAAAATTCCAAGAAACATTACCTGGGGCTGACCTCTGTACACATACAACTCTAAAATGAAATTGTTACCAACATAAACACAAACAACCTAAATTGACTGGGATTGCTCACACCTGTTATCCCATCACGCAAAAATCGATGAACTGGGCTTAGACAAAATCTAACATTTCTTAAGAAAAGAATCACCAAAATAGTTTTAAAATCATACTTAGAGAAATTACTCAGAAAACATACATCTGCCAAATAATTTGGGCCTAAATGTTTGTCAGTAAACTTCTACAACTCAGTAATTAAAACGCAAATAATCAGGAGGCAGAGGCAAGTCTGTGAGCTTGAGGCCAGCCTGGTCTACATAACAAGTTCCAGGCCAGCCAGAGCTAGCTAGGTAGCTATAGCGACCCTGCCTCGACAACAAAAAACTGAAAACACGGGTTCAAAGACGGCTCAGTGGCTAAGAGCACATATTATTCTTGCAGAAAACCTGAGTTCAGTTTCCAGCATCCACAAGGGATGGCTCCCAGTCACCTGTTAACTCCTGCTCCAGAGGATCTGACCCCTTTGTCCTCCCTGGGCACCTGTGCTCACAAATGTATAGTCCCCACTTCAAAACATGCACACACGCACAATGATTAAAAATAAAACCCCAAACGAAAAAGCAAATAATTCCCAATTCTATTTAAAAAAAATAAGCAAAAGCTTTGAACAGATTTCCCCCAGAAAATATATACTAGGCTGGCAAAATGTCCCAGCAACAAAGATGCTTGCTGCCACGGCTGACAGGTTAACCTGAGTTTGATCCCTGGAACCACATAAGGGAGGAGAGAACTGATTCCTTCGAGTTTTGTTCCGTCTCCTGACATACATGCAAGCACACAGGCATGCATGCACACATAATAAAAATATAAGTATTTTTTTTAAAAAAGATGTATTAATGGCCAAAAAAGCAAACAATAAGATGTTCCCTGGAAATGACATATTAAACTCACGATGGGATCCCACCCAACAGAACAGTTACTTAGAAAGGCATCAGCGCCAATTATTGGCAGATGTGCAGAACAGTGTGACTCAGGTTTCTAAGGCAACTGCCAATAGTACAGTTCCTTCCTAGGGAAGACAATTTGGCAGCTAAACATACACACACTCTATGACTAGAAAACCCTACTCCTTGCAATTTACCCAAAGGAAATGAAAACATGCGGACGAATAAACTCTACAGGAGAGTTCGCCGCAGTCTAGTGTCTATCAGCAATTACACAGAGAAACAGGCTGTGAGCTGTTCACAGTGGATTTCTGTCTGACAGTCAGGTGTACGTCACTGACACATACAAAGATTAAAAGAAAAATGACTACCCTGAGAACAGCTGCCCTAAGGCTAAAGCCAAATCTAAGGGCTGATGACAGCCGGAGGACAGTTCTGCCTCAGCCCGATTTGTCTCAGGAGTTGTAGTGTCCTCAATAGCTAAAAGCTTCCCGGGAATGGTGAATGAATTCAACCCAGAGGCAATTCATTTTCTATACAAGTCTGGAGAGCACAGCTCCAGCTAACCAGCAGCTCCTAGTGGCCGCTCAACAGAAAGCTGGATTTAAGGTCACACTGAAGGAGAACGAAATATTCTGAGGTTATAGTTGGATAAGGCCAAATAAGAGAGATTAAAAAGGGGGGGGGGCTGGAGAGGTGGCTCAGCAGTTAAGAGCACTGACTGCTCTTCCAGAGGTCCTGAGTTCAACTTCCAGCAACCACATGGTGGCTCACAGCCATCTGTAATGGGACCAGATGCCTTTCTGGTGTGTCTGAAGAGAGCCACAGTGTACTCATACACATAAAATAAATCTTTTTTTTTAACGTGTATGTGTGCATGTTCTAGTGAAGGCCAGAGGTTAATACTGGATGTCTGCCTTAATTGTAACCCATCTGACTCTTTTAGACAGAATCTCTCCCTGACCTTGGAGCTCACCAATTTGGCAGATAAGCTGGCCAGCGAGACCCTGGGATCCTTCTGTCTCCACCTCCCTAGCCCTGGGATCACAGTTACCACAGCTTTTTTTACACGGATCCTGGGGCTCAAACTCAGATTCTCTTCCTTGTGCAGTAAACACTTCACTGATGAGTCATCTCCTGCCCCACCCCTCCTTCCCTTTATTTTAAAGAAAATCTTTTTTAAAAAGCAATTAAAAGCCGGGCGGTGGTGGCGCACGCCTTTAATCCCAGCACTTGAGAGGCAGAGGCAGGCGGATTTCTGAGTTCGAGAGTTCGAGGCTAGCCTGGTCTACAGAGTGAGTTCCAGGACAGCTAGGGGTACACAGAGAAACCCTGTCTCGAAAAAAACTTTTAAAAAAAAGGGCAATTAAAAATGGATCTAAGCATAGTACACTTGAATCTTCTGTGGACAACATTAATACAGTGGGAATAAGACAAACACGGATTACTGACTTAACCAAAGGATGGTGGAATGTGAGGCCTAAGAGGGATTTTTTTACCTTACAGTAAAGTAGACTGACTGGTCTAAACAGAGCCCTGGAGCAATGGTAGTGCACCTTCAATGCACAAGGGTGGGCCTGCTGTTTCTTTCTGAGGAAAGGTCTCTCTATGTCACCTGGGCTAGCCTTAAACTCGGCTTCTACCTCAGCCTCCCGACTGTCAGTATCACAGGCATGAACAACTGTCTTCATGTCTTCACAGTCTCCCGAAAGCAGCTTTATTTTGACTCAATGCTAGGCATTATACTGTGTGTGGCTGGTTTTGTGTGCCAACTTAACACAAGTTAGAGTCATCAGAGAGGAAGGAGCCTCAGATGAGGAAATGCCTCCATGACACCCATCTGTAAGGCATTTTCTCAATTAGTGATCACTGCGGGAGGGCCCAATCCATTATGGGCGGTACCATCCCTGAGCTGGTGGTCCTGGTTTCTATAAGAAGGTAGGCTGAACAAGCCATGGGGGGCAATCCAGTAAGCGGCACCCCTCCACGGCCTCTGCATCGGCTCCTGCCTCCAGGTTCCTGCCCCGTTTGAGTTCCTGTCCTGACTTCCTTCAATAATGAACCGCAATATGGAAGTGTACACCAAATAAACCCATTTCTTTCCTACTTGCTCTTTAGTCATGGTGTTTCACTGCAGCAACAGAAACTCTAAGATACACTGTGATTGATACACACACACACACTCACGCGCACGCACACACACACACCTCAAAATATCCCATGCAGGGGATGAAGATGGCTTTAGTACCTAAGAACATCTGCTGCTCTTACACAGGACCTCAAGTTCACTTTGAACACCCACATGGTGACACACCCATTTACAACCCCAGTTCCAGGGCATCCAACAGCCACACATGGTGCACATTCATGCACACAGGCAAAGCATTCATACACATAAAGTAAAATAAACAAATCAAAAAAAAAAACATTTAAAAACATGAACATCATGTGCAGCCAGGTTCAAGCTCCCTCACCCCATGGCCCATCCCTCCCAGGCAAAGCAGTGCTCTGTGTGGACAGAGCAACCATGGCCAAGGACTGGAGAGGAGCCTGAGAGCCAGGCCCAGAAACCAAGAGGCTACAAACCATGTGCACAGGGAGAATGTGTGACTGTGGCAACCTCCTTCTGCCTCAGAGCTGAGTGTTTCCTCCGGCTGAGACTTGAGTGCAAGGGAGGGAGAGAGGCAGAGGGGATGGCTGGGTGTTACCTACCGCAGGAGTCACAGATGAAGCAGTCGGTATGATACAGGCTCCCCATCGCCTGGCACGCCTGCCTCGCTCCGTAGATACCAAGCCCACACTTGATGCAAATGCCTGTGAGGGAGGGGCAGGAAAGCAGCGGCTGGTACTAAGCACCACAGAGCTGGGTGGCCACCTGCCTGACCCTCCCAAGCTGACCTCCCAAGGCCATTGTCACCAGGTCCCTAACAGTTAACATGCAGCTACAGGAACACTCGCTGCTCTAAGTCAAATGTGCGAGGTCCCCCACAGGCTCATGTTTTAAGCACCTGGCTGGTGGCACTCTTTTGAAAAGTAGGGACATGGTGCCTGGCTGCAGGTACAGGCCACTCGTACCAGGTCTGGAGGAGGCAGTTCAACTCTGCTTTTTGGTGCAAACGTTCCTCTTTCTAATCCACTGAGACATGAGACCCTGCCCTCAAGCCCTTGCCATTACCAACAGGGCAGCACCAACCAGCATGCCTTCCTTGTCACGTTACACAGTACAAAGTCAAAGTCACTTCTTCCTTGAAGTGGTTTCAGCCAGGGAGCTGGCCAGTGACCACAAAGGCACCATATACCAACAGCACTTGGGGTCAGCTACTGCTATCTGAGCATCCGAAGGGCTTCACAGAGCACAGACAGCGCCTGCCTGACATCTGCCATCAGCTATGAATGACTTCAGCATTAGACCTAGAAACAGCACTCCACGCCCCTCCACCTCCAACTGAGACAACCTTCCTGCTGCCTCTGAACTAAATCCTACTCTTCAAAATAAATCCGCACACCACACAGGTACACTCAAAGGCATCAGTGTCCTTGACAGATGTCCTTTCCCCATCTGTACAAGATTCACATATTCCCTAGGCCATTCCACAGACAAGACGGCCTGCTGCCTGCTTGCTGTAGTGCAGAAAAAACCCCAGCCCCAAGGACGGAGTATTCCAACGGAGGGACACACAACACAAGTTACACAATGTCAGATGATGCACACCTGTGACCCCAGTAATCAGGAGACCTAGGCAAGAGGATAGTTCAAAGTTCCAGGCCAGCCTGGGCTACACAGCAAGCTGGAGGCTAGCTGACAGTCTATTTGGAGATGCTCTCTCAAACAACAACCACCAAAAAACAACAGTGATGATGATGGTGGCAATGTCAGACGGAACCAAATGCTGTAGAGAAAAGTAAGGCTCATAAAGAATAAATCAAGGGGCTGGAGAGGCAGCTTCGTGGTTAAAACTCAACTCCCAGCACCCACTTACTTCACACCCATCCATAACTCCAGCTTCAGAGGGTCCAACGCCCTCTTTTGACCTCTGGGGGGCACCAGGCATGCAAGTGGTGCACATACCTACATAGATGCAGGCAAAGCACTCATACATAAATCAATCAAAACAGAAAATAAACACACATGGCTGAGGAGATGGCTCAGTGGTTAAGAACACTTCCCAGTACACACATGGCCTCTCACAACCACTGAAACTCCAGTTCCAGAGCATCAGACACCCTCTTCTGGCCTCCTCAGTCATTGCATACACACAGTGCACATACAGGTAAGTAGGCACACGCGCGCGCGCACACACACACACACACACACACATACAGGTAGTAAGCACACACACTCACACACATACAGGTAAGTAGGCACACATACTCACACAGCAATAAAAGTAAAAATAAATAAAATTTTACAAAGGATCTTTAAAAAACTAAATAATTCTTTGACACTTGGGCGTGGTGACACATGCCTGTAATTCCATTACTTAGAAGACAGGCCAGCTACATGATAATGTAGAGGCCAGTGTGGGCTATACAAGAACTCATTTCAAACAAAATGAAGAATCAATCTAGGCCAGGTATGTTGATATATGCCTCTAGTAAACTAGGACCATCTCAGGTTCAGGGTCAGTCTGGGCTCCATGGAAAGTTCCAGAAAAGCACAGCTGCATAACATGATCTGGTCTATAAACTCATAAATCTAGGGACTTAGGGTTTCAGCTTAGTGGCAGAGCATGTCTGACATGTGAGGCCCACCCACCCACACACCTGGAGGTGTGTGATTTTTACACAGGATGGTGAGGGAGGGCCCTCTGTAGTCTCTACACCATGAGCTGAAAGGACAGTACTTTCTTTGCAGGGATCTGGGGATACTGGATGGAACTGGGGACCACTCTGGCAGGTTAGATTGGGGGAGGGGACAGAGGACTAAGCAGCAGTGTTAAGAGGCCTGGCTCCAAGCCTTGTACACTGTCAGCCCAGGTGTCCAGGAGGCCCAAAAGGCAGCTCTCTTCAGTTACTCAGTATCTCTGGTTGTTTGCATGAGAAAGGCCCCATAAGTTTATGTGTTTGAATACATGATCCCCAATTAGTGAAACTATTTGGGAAGGATCGGGAGGTGTGGCCTTGCTGAAGAAGGTGTATCACTGGGAGGGGTTTGACGTTTCAAAAACTCAGGCCGGCCCCAGTGTGTTTTCTCTGTCTCCTGCTTTCAAATCATAACGTGAGCTCTCAGTCGGTTGTGGTGGTATTGCCTTTAATCCCAGCACTCAGAAGACAGACACAGGCAGATCCCTGTGAGTTCCAGGCCGGCCTGATTCACATGGTGAGTTCCAGGACAGCCAAGGCTGGTAGAGACCCTGTTTCACCAAACATACAAACAAACAAACCAATGCTGTGAACTCTTAGCTGTCCTATGACGATGCCTTTGCTTCGCCATCATGTACTCTAAGCCTCTGCTTTAATGCAGGGCCTAGGGAAGTAGACTCAGGTCAGGTTTAGTAGAAAAGGCAGTAACACAAGGAGTCATCTCACCAGCCCTCTTTGCACTGGTCCAGCTAGCTTCTTTTTTTTTTCTTTTTTTTTCTTCTTTTTTTTGTTTTTGTTTTTTTTTTTCTGAGACAGGGTTTCTCTGTGTAGCCCTGGCTGTCCTGGAACTCACTCTGTAGACCAGGCTGGCCTCGAACTCAGAAATCTGCCTGCCTCTGCCTCCCAAGTGCTGGGATTAAAGGCGTGCACCACCACTGCCTGGCACTCCAGCTAGCTTCTGTACTGTAGGTTTAAGCACTCTCAATCTGTCTCCCAAGCGTCATGTGTTAGGCTATGGCGCCACCACACCTGGTCTGTTCCCTCATCTTGACTCCACTCCTTTTCTTCAGTCCTGATTCAGGGTGTAATGTGCATGCTATGCAGGCCCCAATAATCCCCCCACACACACATACACTATCAGACTTCTCTTCCTGGAGTAAAAGAAGGCTTCTCTCCTGTCTTCTCCCCCCCTTACCAGCTATGAGAACTAGACTTTTCCTTTCACTTGACTAAATCACAGAAATCAACACTGGAAGTTGGGGGTAGGGAGGCCAGACATGGTAGTGTACACTTTTAATTCCAGCACTTGGGAGGCAGAGGCCAGCACATTCCTACGACTTTGAGGCCAGCCAAGGCTAGGTATCAAGATGCTGTCTCAAAATATTAAAAAAAAAAAAAAAGGGGGGGGGGTGTCTGGAGAACACTGGTTAAGAGCACTGGCTGACTGGCTGCTCTTGAAAAAGGACTGGCTGGGGTTTGATTCCCAACACCAAAATGGATGCTCACGACCACGTGTAACTCCAGTTCCAGGGAATCTGACCCCATCTTCTGACTTCTGTGGGCACTAGGCACACACATGGTACATAATACATACATGCAAGCAAAATATTCATACATAAAAAAAATTAATAGCCAGGTGGTGGTGGCGCACGCCTTTAATCCCAGCACTTGGGAGGCAGAGGCAGGTGGATTTCTGAGTTCGAGGCCAGCCTGGTCTACAGAGTGAGTTCCAGGACACCCAGGGCTATACAGAGAAACCCTGTCTCAAAAAAACAAAAAAAAAAACAAAACAAAAAAAAACAAAAACAAAAAAATGAAGTCAGAGAAAGCAGAATGGTACCCTCTCAGGTGGCGGACTGGCCGTGTACTGGGGCATGGAGGAAGAAACAGGAAGCCAGGCCACAAAGACTGCACTTGGGGACCTCAGTATTCTGAGTAAAATGAGAAGCAGGATGGGCGTCAGGAGACCAGAAGGCTGTTGAGGGAACATAAAAGCAAAGTGACTGGGCTAAGATCAACACACAAAGTCCTACAAACCCACTGAGGCCAAAAACAGGCCAGTGAAATGGCTCAGAGTGTCTTGCAGCTAAGCCTGACAATCTGGGTTCAAGCCTCAAAACCTACATAATAAAGGAAAAGAAGCAATTCCCACAAGTTAGTCTCTGATCTCTATATACATGTTACAACATTCACGTGTCTACACACACACACACACACACACACACACACACACACAAACTAGGAGTCACTCCAGCAATTCAGAGTGGACAGAGTAGAGGTCCGTGAAGAATCAAACAGGAGCTGGAACCAAAGGCTGCTAAGAGAAGCAAAAACAGAATATGGGCTAAGAGTCCTAGCAATAGACGGTGTTCAGGGGCCTGAGGCTGTTGGCCTCCATTAGACAGCCACACTGGGGAGAAGGCAGAGTGTTCAAATACACAATGGCACAGGGGTACCAAGAGGTCAGCTGACACGGAGCCTAGGAAGGAGAGAGCCGGGGATGGCATGTGCCTATAATCCCAGCACCTGGGAGGCTCAAGCAGGAAGAGCTCAAGGCTAACCTAGGCTAAGACTCTGGGAGGCTGAAGCAGGAAGAGCTCAGGGCTAACCTAGGCTGAGACTATGGCCTTTAAATCAAACTTTAAAATGAAATTAACAGATTTTTGTTTTCTGTTTTGCTGTCCAGGTCTCATTTTGTAGCACAGGTTGGCCTGGAATGCATAATCCTTCTGCTTCAGTTTTCCAAATGCTTGGATGACAGCTGTTTACCACACCTAGAAACTGACATTTTTGTAACTCAAAAACATCAACTGTCACCAGAAACTTAGTATAACCAAAATTGCCCATATTTTTAAAAACCAGGGAAAAAAGGTATATTTTTGGTTTAGGGAGTGAGAGCTAGCATTTAGAGCAGGTATGGTGGATCAAACCTGTAATCCCAGCATTCAGGAAGGCTGAGGCAGGAAGATGGTTACTTGGAGGTCAGGTTGGTATACAGAGTGAGACCTCATCTAAAAAGGGGGGTCTGAGGATAGACTAAGCCTTGCATGCATGAAGCCCCAGGTTCCAGCCTCATCACCCCAGAATCTAGCTGTGGTGGTGCACACCTGCAATCCCAGTGCCTGGGGTGAAGGCAAAAGATAAAGGCTGTCCTTGGCTACAGAGCACACTCTGCACTAGATGAGACCTTACTCGGAGAAGGGAACCTCTATAGTCAACCAGCTCAGTTTCCAGTGCAGCTAAAGGCGCTAAAGCTGGGCCCTCGAGGCTCTTTACAGAGAATCGTCACCTCCAGCAGTGTCTGGCTATCAGTGCCTTTACTTCTACATTAAATACCCAGGGTAACACAGAGACTTGAGAGTGGCCATAGGGGCCAACGGAGAGACCAATGCCCAGCCTCTAAGTGTGCACCTGCCAGAAGATGATCAGATGCTCAATCAAGAGCACACAGAGTATCCGGGTGAGATGTCCCAGTGTGGCTCCTGGCAGGAGGCCAGTTTCTCACTCATCTCCTACTCCCAGGCCGTTTACAGCAGCCAGCGCCTCGGCTAAACCAAGATTCCCCATCCTGACTTCTCACTTCCATCAAACACCTCATTCCAAAGTCAGGCCACTCTTTGGCCCACACACGTCCTTGGCCATCCTGGGCTACAACCTTCTCATACCCTCACTTTCTTCCTCCACACTGGAATGCACCCACGTGACCTGCTAAGGTGCAGCCTCTACTCCCCTAAGATCTACTTCAAAGCAACCAGGAGCTGCTAGCTCTATTGAAGGCGAGGCAGCTCAAAACCAGCCACCCTGTCTCAGGCTTGCTAACCGTGCGCATCCCCGAGCCAGGAGCATCACTCCCTCTACCTGACTCACCTAATGTTGTGCCAAGGAAAGCCACCAGACTTTAGGGCCTTGCTAACACATGGGATTTCTTTACCAGGGCTGTCAGGAGTCAGATTCCCTTTCTTCAGTATTTAATGGTATAAAGTTCATTTTCCGTTGCCACTTTTTGAAGCACAGTCTATGTACTCTTGACTGGTTTGGAACTACATGCAGACCAGGCTGGCTTTCAACTATCCTACTGTTCTTGAATCCCCAGTGCAGGGATCACAGATCTGTACCAACCATGCCAAGCTAAAGGGTAAAGTCTGAATATGTATTTTTCTTTGAATTTTTTTTTTCTATATACGTGTAACCAGCTGTAAGGCTGGTTTGTGGGTTTGTTTATTTGCTTTGCTGGGAAACAAACCTAGGACAGTGACAGACTCTATCACAGAGCTACACCCCTAGCTCAGTATTCCTGTAGGAAATATCCTGGATATTCGATCTAGCCCGGAGAAGCCTGCAATGTTTAGTCCTGTGGCCTCACACAGTCTCACCTGCAGCCACTACCAGCACTAAGCCTCCCGTCACACAGAGTACCCAGGGAATCCCATCTTTCTGTCCCTATCCACGGCTCACAGTTAGAAGCAGAGGGTCACTTCCGTTCTGCTTTTCATCAAACATTAGTAGTGGTAATGCTAAGCGTGAAGAACAACAATGCCCAGCAAAAGGCGATGAACAACGGGTTAGCAGTAAGAGCTTGGTGCTCTTGCAGAAGATTCAAGTTCCGTTCCCAACACCCACCGGCTGCTTGCTACTCCAGTTCCAAAGGATTTGTCTGACACCTTCTGACTTTCCAGGGTACTTTCACATACACCTAAGTAAATCTTTTGCAGAATCCGTATGTCTCTAATCCTAGCACTCCAGAGACAGGGGTAGGAAGATTAACTGTGAGTTCCAGGCCAGCCAAAGCTACAGAGTGAAACCTTGTCTCTAAGTAAATAACTTTTTTTTTTTAAGGGTTCAGAAAATACCTTAGGCTGTCAGTCTGATTTTGTCTGACTCCCCGCCTCAAGTCAGGAAGCGCCGGGCGTCTCCGCATCCGTGGAAGGAGAACAGCCCTTACCAGAGCCTCGAGCACCCCGGACCCCCGAATCCGGACCCCGGCCCGCGCACGCTCACCGAAGTAGTCTCGCGCCGTGCGTGCCTCGAGCGCGCGCTCCAGTTCCCGCGTGAGCGCCTCCAGCCGCCGCTCGGCCGCACTCGGGCCGCCCTCCCGGCCCGGGGGCAGCGGCAGCGACGGCAACGGGAAGGGGAACTGGGCAGGCTCTGGAGAGCGGGCGGGAGCGGGGCCGACGCCGGGCGGCAGCAGGTCTGCACAGGCGCCCGCCGAGCCGCGGGAGCCCAGGCTGGACACGCTGGAGCGCGCGCTGCCCCCCGACGGCGGCCCGGGGCCGGGAGCGTGGCGCTGGTCGTAGCCCAGGCTGATACCGCTGGAGCGCGCGCTG